TGCTTGAAAATTCAAATTATTTTAGTGGAGCAATGGGAATCATTACAAAGCAGCAGTCATTGCTGTTGTGTTTCATAAAAATTTTGGCCCCAAATGATGACATTCTGAGAAGCTCCGCAGCACCAGCATTAGCAGAGAGTTCTTTCAAAGATAGGGAAAATAAAAGGCAAAGCACAGAAAATGGACAATTGTATTTGAAACTGTTAGGCACTTTGGTGCTTATGGTGCTTATGTGAGGAGAGATAGTACAAACGTGGTTACAGGCCTGAGCTTCTTATGGAGATGAAATATAATTTCTTTTTTCTTTCCTGTTGCTGTTTTTATCATTTTCAGTTTCACATTCCATTTTTACTTTTATTATCATACCTTGACTGTATTTTTAGGTGCATTCCACCTTACCTTGAAGTGATGTGAAGACATAGACCTGAACTAATGTAGATCTGGGAGTGAAATCCACGTTAGCATGTCTTTTTTGCTTTCTCTTCCAAAGCTAACCCGCTTCAAACTAGTCTCTACACAGCGTGGTGCAACAGAGTTAATTTGGGGAGAGACTCAAGGTAGCACATTTAAACGGGCTGCACTGTGCTGTGTAAATGTACCCTCCCTTTGGAGATGGCTTTTATAAAGTCCTGCATTGCAGAGCGTAGCCATACATTTGTGAGCCATACTTGAGATACCAAGGCTAGATATAAACGTGCTCTAGATGTGCGCTTCAGTGTTGTATAAAGATGCTGACCACTTTTGATGTCAGATCCATGAATGTAGAACTATCTGGATTAAGCTGGAGGTGTCTCTTTGTGCACACATCTCCCTCTGCATTGTCAGGGCCTTGGCATACCTATTCAAGTGGTGAGTTTGTGCCGGAAGAGTTTTATCCGGAATTTCTTTGTGTTTGTGCCATAAAAATCACTAGGACGACTGTCCCTTGAAGCTGACTACCAGTCAGATTTTTCTAACAGCTTTCTGTAATCTTTAGCAGAAGCAGCAGTTTCTTCTGTGAAGACCATTCTTTATGGAATTGTATGGAGTTTAATGAAGTTGTATTGTTTCATAAATAGGAATTACATATTGGAGCTGTTAGTGTGTGACACCCCAGAAAGCTCATTGGGAATTCAGCTTCTGAGAATTCTTAATGCAGATGTTATTTGCCAGTGAGGCCTATAGTTTGTAATACTTGGAAGACAATTAAATATAATGTTGACAGTCAAAGCAATAATGAACTTATGTATATGTAGATTTTTATGTCTGCTGTCCAAGCCACTTCATGAAATATTTTGTCTCAAATTTCATTCTGCATGGCCAAAGCTTTCTCTTTGGAAGTCTGCAAAGAGCCATACTGAGCAAATATGCACCTTTATTCTCTCTCAGCTTCTTTTAAATGACACAGTTACTCTCTCCAATTTCCCTCACATATGGCTCCTTTTTCTCCCTTTGTTAAGGTGGTTTTGTATCTTTTCCCTTACGATAAAATGGAATGCTCTTTGCTGTTATTTTGAATTCCACTACTTAAAAGTTATATAAACTTTAATAAAACTGAAGATTTATGAACATTTGTGAAAGAAAATCTTAATATAAGAATTCTAAATCAATGGAATTGTGGGACAGTGTGTATCCATTGTTGAACATACACGATTGTTAGCATGAATAACTTCAAACTGAATCCTAAAACAGGAAATATATTCAGTCTCTTAAAAAGCTAGTGAAACCATATGGAAAATGTGGATAAAGATTTGTGAAAACACAATTTTATGTATGTGTTATACAGTTCCTGTGTTTTTCTCCATGCCTATTGTAATTAGAAGTACTGTATTTCATGACACTATTATAAACCTCTTTTAGTAAAACTAAAGTTCCTGCAAAATGAAACCACTCTTTCACTGATGTACATATTTTAACATCTAATGTGAATATCTTTCATGACAACCTAAAATAATTCGTGGACAAATCTTCTATCATTCTCATTTTAAAAAATATTACTCCTATAACTGAATTGTGTCTGATTTGGGATAGATGCCCTTGAAATATAAAAGACCATAGACTGTTTAGGGATGTTTACATACCTATTTGCTAATTACTTTCCAGAAGCAACCTTTAACAGACTAAAGTTAAATTTCTACTTTTAAAGCAACACTATTCAAGCAACCTCAAGCTTATACAATTTTCTTCTGCACATTTCAGTAAGATGCCAACAAGTCAGTGGTAATGTCAGTGGAGAGAGACTGCAGCTCAAGAAGGGGTCACGCCGTATTTGAAATCCTCTATGAGATGTGTGATTTTTAGAGTTCTGAGAACTGTCTCGAGAGATTTGTATTTGAGCAGAGGATATCTCACAGCTGTTTAGGTATTACAATAGGGAAATAGTATAAAAACTGTACAAAATGAAATCCCATGTTTTCCTGGTTTAGATCCCTGAAGTATATTTACATTAAACAAAACTCAGAGTACTGCCAAACAGTCTGGAGAAGTAAGTAGCATATGATCTATAGGAGCTGTAGCGTCTTTGGTCTCACTCTGCTGAGTTATATCTATAATCAGTTTTGGATTACTAATGTTATCAATAGCTAATAATTGTTAGCTCTAATACCTTCCAAGTAACATTAAAAAGTTCTCCATGTTATTTTGAGATTCCGGATAACAGCAAGTAACCTGTAAGGTTACTTAAGGTTTCTTAGGAGATTCATCCTGTATGTTTATACTTACATTTAAGGGTATTTCTAAGAAGAAAATACTTCTATTTCTCACCAGCACAGTCTCAGGGAAGAGGCTAAGGGTGTGATTTGACAGTACAACTAAGAAAGGTTACAGCTGCTGTATCCCCTTTCTTCTCCCTCCTGCATTCACCACCCCTCCGTTGTGCCATCTCCCTTGCTTTTTGTACCATTCACAGAGCCAGTTCTCTTTGGTGACCCAGACGAAAACGCAACGTTTCCTGTCTTTCTACCAGCTGAGCAGGACGCAGGTCCTCTCCTGTTCAACAGCAATCAACTCTCATATTGACTCAAACCATGTTGTCCAATTACACCCTCAGAGTGAGATCCAGTACAGTTTTTGGGCATCTTCCAGGCACTTAAGTATTAAAAGTGATGAACACATAACTCACTTTAACGATAAGGTATTCTTGGAATCATAGAATCATTTACATTGGAGAAGAGCTTTAAGATCATTGAGTCCAACCGTTAATCTAACACCACTAGATCTGCCACTAGACCATGTCCCTAAATGCCACATCTATACATCTTCTAAATACCTACAGAGGTGGTGAAGCAACCACTGCCCTGGGCAGCCTGCTCCAGTGCTTGACAACCCTTTTGGGGAAGGAATTTTTCCTGATATCCATTCTAAACCTCCCCTGGTGCAATTTGAGACCAGTTCCTCTGTTCCTATTGCTAGTTGCTTGGAAGAAGAGACTCATCCCCAACTCACACCGTCCTTTCAGGTACTTGTAGAGAACGATAAGGTCTCCCCTCAGCCTCCTTTTCTACAGGCTAAACACCCCCCGTTCCCTCAGCTGCTCCTCATAAAACTTTTTCTCAAGTCCTTTCACCAGCTTCATTACCCTTCTTTGGACATGCTTCAGCACATCCATATTGTTCTTGTCGTGAGGGGCCCAAAACTGAACCCGGGATTCAAGGTGCAGCCTCACCAGTGCTGAGTACAGAGGGACAAACACTTCACTGGTCCTACTAGCCACATGATTTCTGCTATGGGCCAGGATGCTTTTGGCCTTCTTGGCCACCTGGGTACACTGCTGGCACTTGTATCCTAAGATTTCGCCTGAAAAACTTTAAACTATCTTATGTAGGCACGGACACAAATTTTGTGAAATCTACTCCTTGAAGCTGCCGCATAATGGTTAGTCATTGAGGCATTTACCATCAGGCAACATAAATGCCTTAGTGAATCTACCCCACAAGCGGTCTGAAGTCTCAGGGTCCACAACACCAATGGATGGGTGAGAAGCCCCGGGGACCTTTTCCAGCACTTGCATTGAGAAACTGATTGCAGGGACTGGCATAAAAGTGTTTAAAGACCACTAGACCAATGTCTTTCTAAAGCTTTTAAGGAATGTGGCATTTAGTTTACAAGCTGAGGTGAGGGAAAAAATAAAGACTCGATAAGTGAAGCAAATATTTTATGAGCAATCCTATCATGTTGGTGTTGAAGGGACTGCTGTTCTGCGATTTGCTGTTGGCATGTTTTTTTCCCATGTTATATATGCAGTAGTGAAGTGTCTGTGAAGAAATCTACTCTTTGTTGTGCTCTAATTCTTTATTTCTTTTCCTTTCCCAATCCTTCTAGACTCCATAGATGGGAAACATGCTCGAAGGACTCAGTCCAGTACTCCTTTGGGAGAATTATTTGACCATGGGCTGGATAGCTGGGCTACCTCCATTTTTGTGCTTTCTTTTTTTTCTGTCTGTTCCCGTGACAATGGGAAGACTGGAGTTTCTGTATATACAATGTATATATATTTAAGCATTGTCTTGTTTAACTTTATGTGTTCACACTGGGAGAAGTACAACACAGGAGTTCTTTTTCTTCCTTGGGGATATGATATAAGCCAAGTGGTAAGTATATATTGTTCCTGTTTTGGTTTTATGTTTTTAACAATGTTAGTGTTTTCATAATATTACAGAAATAACAAAATAGAGCTCAAGGCAAATATATTTGGCCAAGATTTTGAATGTGAAATAGCATAACTCTAATAGTAATTCAGAAATATTTCCTGGATTTGCAAAGAAGGGATGCTCTTGAGCAAGTTGTCAGGATCAGAGATTAATTGCCTTGCAGGAAAAAAAAAAGCTTGCAGCAAGCCTAGCAGTCAGATAGTGCCCATGAAAATGTCATTTAACTGCATTTGATTTGTGGCATTAGCAGAAACTACTGTGCTATCTGAAGCCATAGGCATTTTTCCCACCAACACTAGTTTCTGAGGTGTGATGTGATTTATTCCAAGTAGTATTTATTAACAGTAATTACACAGTTATACAATACTAGGCCTTCTCAGTTCTACCACCTCTTACATTAAATGTGGTAACGGAAATAGCATTATACTTATACAACTACCATTAACTGTTGTCAAGTGAGTTTTACTCTTAAGAAAAAGTTGAAGTCATACCATTAGAGGTTTTCTCTCCGGGAATCGTGTTCACTAACATGGATTACGTGTCAACCCACAGCCAGTTCCCAGCTGGGTTCTTGACTGGCTTACAGCCCTACCCCGAGGTGGACCTCTTCAGAAACATTCCCAGGGCACCACAGTGAGTGGTGGCCTCAGTGAACAAATGAGTAGCAGCAGTAATAAACTCATTACACTGCCAAGGACCCAGTGCTGGGATTTCTGGCCTGGCTTATCTGTTTCTTAGATAGCCAGGCTCTTGCAGCCTGAAGAACACAGTCCCAGTCTTCTGAGCTTCCTGTCACAGGCATGAGATGAAAGTTACAGCCCAATATATGTAATTATAAAGAAGTTTGACAGATATTCAAATATGTGTTTTAATGGAAATATGGTACTTGAATTAATGGCTGCACATGTATTGTTGTAAACATAATCAGAATCCAGTGGTTTGAGAACAACTCAGATGTGGTGGTCCAGCTGTGATGCATCTGTTTCATCCCCTAGAAAATAAGTTCTGGGAGAAGAAGTTGGCTCAGGACTAAGACATTAGGCAGCCAGCTGGTCTGCAAGTTTCAGCCATGTCTGAGTAAGGCTTCTTAGTGAAGTTCTTCCAGCAGGAGCAGAATAGCTATGAGCAACCAATTTCACTTGTTACTCAGATGATCGGTGTAGGTATGCATGTGGAGATTTAGAAAGCTCTTTTGGGTTGCTGTAACATTTGAATTGTATTAGTGGTTGAATGGAGTGGGCATCAACTAGGAGAGCAGTACTGTTAAATCTCAGTGCCTTTTGGTGAGCTATGCTTCTGTCAGTGCCTTCCCATCTGGGAAATAATGGTAATAACATTTCCCTGCCTGACAGATTTGTGGTGAGATTGAATTTCAGTACAGTTTGTAAACTCCTTTGATTAACTTGAATGTAAAGTGTTAACAAGTGCTATTTCCTGTTCCCCTCTGATGCTGAGTTGCTGTCCTGCATGCTGGCTTTCTAGTAACTTCTGTGATGATTTGCCTACAGTCAAAGATAAGCATATAATTGTAAGGATTTTTTGATGCTATATAGTGCAGTTATCGACAGTGGTGGGAGACTGTACTATTGAAAAGTCTGTATGTCAGTTTTCCCAGTTATAACAATTAGCTTTTGTAGCTGTGATTTTCTATGGACAGAGACAAGACAGGATTTGTAGATCAAGGTAGTGTTTTTTCCATTAGTCCAAACTACATTTCACACAAACACACCAGAAAATACATAATGTATTTTTTTCCAGCTGTACTAACTAGTCTAGTAAGAGGTCTTAATTCCCATGCAGACATGGCCTTGTTCTTCAGCGCATTTTGTATGCTCTGTGCGCTATTAAAGGTAGATCTTCATCTGTAGCTATTTGGAGGAGAGTATACTGAAGATCTTAGCAAATATCTGATGATGAGTAGGAAAGGTAATGTGGTTTTTTTTTCCCCACCACCTCTCTGCCAGATATTCCCACAGTCATGTTCAGAGGCAGAAGGTGTGAAAGCACTCACAGGCTGCTTTCAAACTGTTCCCGGGCATTTAATTCTCTCTTTCCTCCGTTGCATTCCGAACTGGATTGCTGCACGAATGTGCCTCTCTGCTCTGTCTTAAATAATTTCACTGACAACATGATGCCATTGCATTGGCATGTCAGACATTCAGGTGGTCTAGTACACTGCTTCTGCTTTTAGAATTGATGGTAGCCGGAGACTTTGAACCTCATTATCCCCACAAAGCTCAGGAAATACAGTAATTGATATAAGTGTACAAATAGATAACTATTAACCTTAATGAAAGCTTAACTGGCACGTAGCTCCCAGGACACTGCTGCTGAGTCAGCTCCACTGTATATAAACACAGACAGTCCGCTCACTGGCTCTGTGTTAATTGTGCTATAAAAAGAGCTGCTGTTTCTCATGAAAAAATACCTCATTATAATAGAGAAATTTGTGGGGCTTACGCAGATAATTTTTCTGCAGCTTGATGACTCATCAGAATCAGTAACCTAATTACAGTAGCTGGGCTGTAATTGGCACTCCAGTTAGCTTTGATTACAGCAGACAGCCATTTATACAAAACTGTGGTGTGTAAACTTGAAATGTGGCTGTATCATGTCTGAGAGATGCTCAGTCAGTGGTCTGTCATGTTTGTGGATCCAAAATCAAGGAGGAGGCATCTGCAGCCTCCTTCCTCCAGCACAAGGAGCCATCTCCTGCTGAGTCCTCTGTAGGCAGGAAGAGGTGCAGAGAGAAGAGCTTCTTTATACTGTAGCATGTAGGCAGTTTCTATACACTTTCAAGTACACACAAACACCCAGAAGTCATGGGCTGAAGAGAAGACTGAAGAAGAAAACTCCACCAAAGAAAGCTAATAACTGCAAATTAAGGTTTTTTTGGAGGAAAATAGACAAAGCTTTCCTGAGAAAGACTTCTGGCTGTATGTTAATTTTCACAGATGTCCTCTGGATTGTTTAAAATCTATTTTTCTCCTGAAAATTTTAATATTCCCCTAATAAAGTACTCCCCTAATGTTGCTTTTCATAAGCCACTGCAGTTGAGTTCGTAGTAGGGGAACAAACTCTTAATTTTTCCTTACTGTGATGCAGTGATACCTCTGCTTACCTCAGTGCTGCCTTAAGTGTAAAAGAGAGATATCCTTTATATTCTTAAATAAAAGTTTAAAGTTGAAAATAAGAGCTGCACGAGAGCTGGAATGACCCAGACAGTTCCACACTCTTCCCCCTCACTCTTCCCAGCCAAGAGAGCAAGCTGGAAAAAAGCACAAAAGCACAAGTAGCCACTGTGAAAGGCAGCAGCTAGCTCTCTCTGGCCCTGCCCTAGCCCTCTAAGGAAAAGATGACCAGGAATCCTATATACAGACGTGCCTGAAGGCATGGAGGGTTGGGCTGTGAGCCCCAGGTTTTTGGTTTGAGATGCTTTCCCACCAGGTTCTGCCCAGTGGCTTTGGTCTGTTCCACCGGGGCTCTTGGGGAGAACACTCTGCTGTCCTTGAAACTCCAAATAAATGAAGTGTATGTTGCAGGTAGCAATTTAAACATTGTAGAACTTCATTTTCTCCTTCCTTTCAGTCAAAACAGGGTTTGGGGGTGTCATATACCACGTTTTCTTCTGAGAAGCAGTTTACAAAACTCACACTGAAGTAGGTTTCATATGTCCCTGTTCCCGGGAAGTACTGTGGCAGCCAGTGATTCACGAACTGGCAGAGAAATCCTGAGCAATGCAATTGTATATCACATCTTTAAAAAATTTCTGCCTGTTCTAAGGGATAAGAAAGAAGTCGCTATTAAAAAAAAAAAAAGAAGACACAGACGTGTCATTCTTTGGTCACGTTGTCAGGATTCAGAATCTTTTTTTTAGTTTACTTAAAAAGATAACTCACTTTCAGGGTTTTTCTGATTTGAAGTGTCTGTGGAAATCATAGCCTTTCTTGTCAAGAAATAATATTATTATTTAGCTCCAAAGGCAGGAGCTCACTGAAATTGTTGAAGTTAAAGAACGGGTAGCAGTGTGGAAGCAGTGCTGGACAGGCCATGGTGTCTGCTTCCAGCTGCCTCCTGACACAGCTGGAAACCAGACTCAGTACTTGGGGATCTGAGGGGAAACCCCAGAGTGTATCCGTGTGAAATTTAAACAGAAGAACCTGTGGTGCACAGGCTCTTTCTGCAGCAGATTTCTGCACCCAATTATGATTCTACTCAAACTATTATTGGTTGATTAATTGTCCACATGCCTTTAGCTGTTTACCTGTCATATACTGCATCCCTAAATGCAAAATGACCTTTTAAAGGCATATAAAATCCTATTTTTATAGGTTAAATTTGCCACCTTTATTTATTGAAAGAAAAAGATACTGAGAAAAAGATTAAAATGGAAAAGTTACATATTATGCCGAAGCTAACTCTTGTGACTGGTAGGAAATTGTAAATTTTTACTTTTTTAGGCAAGCACCATATTTATTTCAAAGGAAAAAAGTAACCTCGTATTTTGAATTACTTTGCTCTCTGCGTGTTCGGTTTGAGTACTGTGTTAATGAAAATTATTTCAACACATGAATAATTAATGCTATTGGAGTATGCTAATGAAATTCAATATTAAAGTAAAATGATTGAGTTTTTGTAGAACCCTTAAGAATTTTAAAGCACAGCCAGTAGATTTAAAAAAAAAGGAGAACTTGTGTAGTGTATCATACAGCATACTCTCTTTGTAAAATAGAAATGGTAAATCATGGGGGGGGGAAGTATGTACATACATACAGTGTAGAATTTTAATCACAAAACTTGCAGTAGTGGAAAGGCATGAAAGAGTATTTTAGAGAACAATTAAAGGCCTAGAAGCTAGGAGATTTTGAGGAGTTATACTGCCTTATGGTTATAAAGAATTCTCTCAATGCCACATTAATGAAGTAATATTTTGATTTTACAGGGGGAGAAGGGTGACTGTTGTGATTTACAAAGCTGTGACAACATAGCGAGCCACTGCTCAGAAGCCAACTGCCCTGCTGCTCAGCCATAGGCTGCCATGTCAAAGGGCCTACAAATTAACACCATGCCAGATTTTTGTCTACACTAAGTACTATTGCCTCCTTACAGATAAGGCCTTGGAAACCAAAAATTTGCCTGGTCAGATGCTGCAGTGAGTTGAAATCCAAGTCTACATATGCATCTGACACTAACACGCTGTATGGGTCCTTACTTGTGTTACTTAATTTGGGCTTCTCATTTTACAGAAGGTTAAAATTATTTTTACTTGCTAAAGACTAGATTTACATCTGAAAAGTACTAAAGCGGATCAATGCCGGAGATGAATAAAAGTTGGCTGTCTTTTTCTTAGGGAGGATTATTCAGTTGTGCTTAGGAACACCGCTGTATATTTTAATAATTTTGATTTTTGCCAGCAGTGCCTTTAAAAACAGTCACAGGTTTACACAGCTGATTATCAGACTTAGCTTTTGTCTAATAATTTTGATGATCTTCAGTTTTTGCTAGTATGGCTTAACTCAAGGGACAGCCGTTTTCTCACCCTTCCAGCCTTCTAAAGGAGATCTTTGGGTCAGCCTCAGTGATGTCATAGTTATTCTCACTGATTTCAGTAAAATCAGCATCTCAGTCATGAGTCTTTAAAAAATAGCACACTGACATTTGAAGCAGAAGAGTATTTTTTCATACATAACAAATAAGAGGCAATTTCAACCTGTGAGTGCTGCATCACCAAATCCCAGGGCAGGGGATTCCCCAGATAGAGCCCATTGCACCGATGGTCCTGTTCCTGCAGGTCTGCTGACATCCCACAGTGATACTTGGGACTGTGCTGCTGAAAGTGCTGGCTCTATTAATGGATAATACTGGAGTTCCTCTTCTGTCACCCGACAGGAAAAGTCTATTCAGAACTCAACGTGTGAGGGTAAATTCAGGCTTCGTCAAACCCACTTGGAGTTTTGCTATCAACTTTGATGGGGCCAGGAGTCCACCCTCCATGTCTTATGGATAGTATAATGCAACTTCTTCACAAAGACAGATGTTAGCTCTGTTGTGATCGGTGGCAAAACCTGGTATACACATTCTTCATTTAGACGAGAATTTGCCTCACTGTCTTCAATGGGCCAAGCTGAAACTCTTGTAACTAGTTCCTGCTTTTGTCTGTTGCAGATCTATTGTGCTACTTGTTCTTGCTGAGGCAATTCAGACATCCAAATCTGCACTGCCACGCTCAAGCAAGGATCTTAACGAGCTGCATAGTCATAGGGCAAGAATCTTAAATTTAGATCCATTCAACTGATTTTTTTTTTAATTATTATTTCAGGTGAGCGTAGATTTCCACCACCCCAGTTATTCTGCTATGATCAGTTCAGTCTGTATGCAAGTACAAGAAGGTGCTTGTGCAGTGGGGAGAGCTAGCATTAAGGGCTTTAGAAATCGGGTGTTCTGAAAAGGTAAGTCAGTAGTACTTACAGATGCACACATTAGCAGGGGAGCTGCTTGCTTACCGTATTTCCTACATTTTTAGTAATTTTGTTGGTGACCCTGGAAGCTGCTTCACTGCTTATAAGTAACTGTTTTGGGATGGCAGCATAAGGTCCTATAAAGTGGAGGAAAGAGGAAAATAACAGAGTTTTTAACTTATAAGTGAAATTCTGTGCCTTTAGAAGTAAAGGATTGAAAATACGTTATCCTTTTTCTATAGGTATTAATAGCAGCATATCTGCTTACCGGTGCTCTTGGTGTGGAAGTCTGGCAGAAGCCTTTCCTGTTTGGTTATTACATTACAGATGCATTAGTAATCTTGCTTATAGGTAAGTGTCCAGATTCATACAAAGCTGTACTGCTTTCTAATTATTTTGGTTAGACATTTTTTGTATTACCTTCATATTTTTTTTATTTCTTTTGTGTCAGCTAGTCCTTTGGACTACTTATACTGGAAAACTTAAAGTATATAATTTTGGAAACATTTGTCCTCATTAAATTACTCCCTGTTGCACACAAATAATACAGAAGATATTCTTTATCTGCATGTGCAGTTCAATGCAGTGTGCTTGAGGGCTGGCTCTCAAAGTCTCAGGGATTCCTTCTGTCACTCAGGTAAAATGTTGTATGTATTTACATATATTATAAGTTTAATATTGTAGCCTGCAGCACATTCTGCTCCAAAACATTATGGATAGAAGTAATAAAGGCATTATTTAAATAATATTAGGAGGCACAACTGTAAATCTAAAGAAGACCCAGGTGGTTTCTAAGCACTTCTTTAGAATTACTTTTCAAACAGAAGTGATACATTTTTCATGCACAGCAATAGCCTACTTGCTCATTATTTGATACTGTCAGTGTAGTTTGAAATAAGCATTGAATGCTTTTCGACTGCTCTAGCTAGACTGAGAACAAGAGCAGTTACATTTTAATGAGGTACAAACATTGTAGTCTTAGCTAAAAATGTGTGCAAGCAAAATGGCTTTGATGTGTTGCTTGGAAGATGAAGAAATTAGCATATAAATGTTAGGGATTTTTACATGAGCATGCAAATGGTGAGAATAGGGCACCAAAAAATCTGTTTAACACTGACAGTCTGGACATAAATCCCAAAAAACATCTTCAGTCCTTGAGCCTGATGGAGGACTTGGATATAGCTGGTTACCCACTGCTGGCTCTGAGCATTTTGAGGGGGACTTTTGAATCCATTGCATTGACAAGTGCTCTCACCACCCTTTCCCACTGGTGAGATCTTCAGCAGGTACCACCTCCAGCCTCAGCCGTGCTTTCCAGAATTCCCAAAATGGAAAGGACCTTATGTTTGGGCTGTGCTTTCTAATGAGCTACGTGTTCAAGGATATGGTTTTGACAATCATGGAATGGTTTGGGTTGGAAGGGACATAGCGTTTTACCTAGAGCATGAAACTGACTCTGTGTGACCAAGATTATACAATCTTCTTGTCAGGTCTGTTTGAGGCACTCAGAGAAAAAGAAAGAAGGGGAGAAAATAGCAGTTAAGTTACTGAGCATGACAGAGGTGCAGCTGTAAGCTGTTCTCTGGTGGCTGGCAGGGCACTGAGGGATAGGGGGTGATTTGTGATTTCAAAGGAGCACTGTGAGTCCAGGAGAGATGGATGGTGGCTCATCCAGAAGCCACAGATTAGGCCTGTATTGGTGTCAGGGACAGGCAGGGGCTGCTTCACTGAATGCACTCATTCTGTGTTGCACACATCGCTGCTTCTGTTCCTCACACTAAGACCCGTGGCAGCCCCTTCAGCCCTGGTGGCTTCGCTTGTGCTTGGGAAGCCATGAGTGAGGGTTTAATTCAAACTGTTCAACATTTAGGAAAGTTGGTGGTAAGGAAGCATGTCAATGTCATCACATATGCAGAAGCAAGAGTCCTTCATAAACTACCAAAACCAGCTGCAAAGCAAGGTTTGATGGACTGTTCCATCAGCATTAGAAAGAGCTACTGCTTCTGTCTCATGTGGTACACTTGCATGAATGGATACATAAGCAGAGAACTGAGTATTTCTTCCATGGTTATCCCAATCAGAGTAGACATAAGAGCCAAAAGATTTCTTTAAAAACCTTGTCTCTTGCACACTATCCATAAGGCCATTAACAGGGCAACTTGTACAGCTTAATTATATTTAACTATGGATTTAAAGTATCCAAAAATTATCTTGGTTAACTCTATACTACAAAATCATCACGGTGTTTAAAAACAGACACTAAATTTAAGTATTAATCCTTCCACTGAGGAACATACTGATCCAGAAAGCACTACCATTTTTTACCACAGGTTTCAATCTCAGCTGAGCAATGGTGGTTAGGATGGTTGTGACTGGATAAATCTGTGTGCAGTGAATATGGATATATAAAGTTTTTGGAAGCTTGCAGTAAATTGCAGGACCCCGCTGTGACTGCAGATAAAGTATTGATCTAACCTACACCAAGAGCTGAGCAGCTGGGAAGATTAAATTATTCTCTCCCTTAGAAAGGCTGCAGCAAGTGTATCTTGCTCAGGCAGATAGATCCATTTGTATCAGAGAGCCCACTCTCTGGCACGCTCAGTTAAATTCCCGTGTGGCTAGTTAAAAAAAACAAAGCAATGTAGTGGGCCTCTGGTGCTTTTACTAGTTAGTTTCCCAGGACCTTGAGAGGAGCCATTAAACCATAACTGACTGTCCTTAACCATCTGATGGTATTTAGTAGTCACCAGTGGTCCCTTCTAACAATGAACCTGTAGCTGCTCCATCAATACTTGGCATTTGTTTTGTGCTTTTACTGTTGTGTACACAACAGGAATTCAGCTGCTGAGCTGTCACTTCTCCAAGATCAGCTGGGCTGTAGCTAGTGCCTTCTGTAGTGGGAAGACCCCCAGACAAGATGCAAAAGAGGAGTTTTTCAGTTATCTTTCTTGGAGTTTCTGGATGGGGGGAAAAAAAGAAAAAGAATAGCCTACATATAACCTAAGGATGAACTCTGCAAAAGCTTCCTCGGAGGAAGCTGTGGTATCACCAGGTGACACTCACTGGCTGAAAATAATGGAGTTTTTATCAGGTGCCAGAACACGCAAAGATATACATAAAAGTGCAGCGAGACCAGTGTTTAGATTAGATGTTTCAAGAAAGCCCCAAGAGAGAGCTTTATGTGTGTTCCTGGGAACTGTCTAGCACACTGTGAACACCTGTAGGAAGGCCAAGTCTTGGACTGCTGAACAGTGACCTCAGAGGACTCCTCTGTGAGGCAGAGAAACTTCTGCATAGTATTTCAAGAGAACTGTTCAGTTACCCAGCAAACAGAAACCTGTAATTTTCACAGGCAGTGAGTGCAATTCCATCCTGCAGCTCCAAAACACAGACCTAGATGCACACGAAATAAACAAAGAAGGTTATTCTCCTGTTTCCAGAGTGTGTTGTCCTGGCTGCTAGACAGAAAGGCCTTTTCTCATCTAGCATGAAAGCAGCTAGACCTTTCTAAAGTTCTGTGCCTGTGTGCTCAGCTGGAACTAATGACTTCTGCTCTCAGCAAGACTCCTGTGGATGACACTCCAAACATGCTCTTGGGATTTAACCACAGTTGTCCCATAGCATTATCTGGTTAACTAGGGTCCCTTCAAAAGGTAGCACTGAGGCAAGAGACATCATTTATTTTAGGCCCTCCAGGGTATCCTGAATTCCTAGCATTCCCTGTCACTATGCCGTCAGGTTGAGAGCATTACAAAATATTTACAATACGTTTTAAAACAGTCAGTTCCCCACAAATGATGCTATAGACTTCATAAGAAGATTTGCACTGACAGGTAAACATCAGTAGTTCAGGGTGCAGCATTACTAATTGATGGTGGTTTCTGTCTCACATTACAGTTAAATGACCTGTAATAGGTGCATGTTCTGAATAAAGCATTTCCCATTCATGACACATTCATACTTGCTCTCTATGAGATAGATTTTATATCTAATGAAATTTGAGTTCATAGTGCAATCCTCTGCTCCCCGGAGACATTTCTATGTCTCTGTCTTTTACCTGACTGTTCATTTCTGTGCAACTTACTGGAAATTTTCTTCGGTCTATTGAAATTGTTCAAAATTGAGCAGAGGGCTCAGAAGTTATGGTGGGATGCACACAAACAAGCAAAGTGTTACCATGTCTGTTCCATTCCTTGAGAGGCCAGGTTGGAAAAATAACTCCTGGATGCAAGAAGATTCCTGCTCCTCCTCAGTATTAATTGCACCTGGAAGATTAGGCTTTGTCGTTGAAGGACCACTAAAGCATGGAGTGGATGTGTTGTGCTTCATCACTGTGTGGCACATGGGGCAGACAGTTACAATCCAGACATGGTAGTCCATTTGAGTCCACTCTATCTGTGTCCAGATCTGGCTACTGAAGCCTGTGGCAAAAATGACACAAATTTTCAATGTACTGGTTTGAACATGAAATGTGAGTGAAGTACGAACATCTGTCAGAGATCTGAAGCTTGAACTTTCTTTTAGAGATGGGGCCAAAGCATTCAGAATTTTTTCCTATGATGTGTATTGGACTGAGTTCTGTGTTGAATTTTGCAGTGTGTGTTCCTTGAGGTTCCCTTCTCTGAGCTACTTAAGTATATAAAATGAGTAAATAAAACACAATAGAAGCAAAAAACGAATGGTGAGACCAAGCCACAACATTTAAAACTTGCCAAGTATTCGAATTCTGTTGGGGTGGGAAAGCACAGTTATCCCTCTAAAACAATACCCCACCCTTATGCTGTGTCCTGTTTACTGTGTATTGAAGGAGGACACACAAGTCCTTGCAGTGGGAAATTATCCAGCAGCCTGCCTGTTTTTCAGTGTCAGAAAATGTTTCAGAGACCATGGTCAAATTGTAAACTGTTTCTGCCTCATGGAGAAGTCATTCTGGAGTGATTTCCTATAGTTTCCATTGCAAAGTGGCTGATGGTTCTGCCTTACTGATGGGTAGTTGAGTGATTAAACATCAAGTATGTTTTCAAAATGTTACTGCTCTGACAGGCTTGGACTGGCCTTGTTTGAAAAGTGTGGTTAACAAGAGTTGGCTTCTACATGTCTGTCACCAATTTAACATTTATTAAGGCATTGTTGTGACAGATTGTACAAGATTTTGTTGGAGTAAAGGGTGTGAAATATTCACCTGTCACCCAACATATATATATATATATATATATAAAGCAGTTAAGTTCATGTTTAGAGTAACTCATCTGAATTGGTCAGAACAACAACCCAGAAACACAGAGCGCTGGAGGCGAAGCGGTGTCACGGAATGCTGATTACAATTGGGAATGGGTTCAGCGGTGTTAGCT